CTTAGAACTACCAAAGTCATGCATTCAAGTTACAATCTAAACCACCTTTCCCGAGCGTAAGATTCAGATTTAGCATCAATTAATCTGTGATCAAGAGATTAAAAGAATTAAGCGAATAGATACACAAATAGATTAAATACAAATCAATCCACTTGTTAATAAATCCAACTCATAAGTCCAGCGGCTACATCAATCCCTAGAACAATACGATTAGCTACTAATGTTCATGAAAATACAATAAAATCCCACGGAGAATTTCATAATAAATCTAGAAAAGGTAAGGGAAAGGAGAGAAACTAAATTCGTAGTGTCGATTGACCGTCCCCGACTCAATCTCCATGATCAAGAGCCTTCAAAAATCATCTTCTCTCCCTCCTTGCTTCAACTTTCGTGCCAAAGCTCTCATAACTCCAATTCTCCCAAGTAAGAATCTCCAAAAAAGTCCTTCAAATGACACACTTAGTTTTTTTTTATGAGAGGGCATCGCTAGAGCGCCATGGCGCTGTCCCAAATTTGTGAGGACGTGTAAGTTCGTAGTGCCATGGCGCTATAATACAACGCTACGACGCTGTCATCATGGAAAGAGGTCCAAGCTTCATCTGCAGGTACCATGGCGCTGTGTACTGGCCCTATGGCACTGCTTCTTTAAAATTTTGCTCCCAATTCTAACCTGCAGGTGCCATGGCACTGTATTATGGCGCTACGGCGCTGATTTGGCTTAATTAAGCTCCCCTCATTGCTCTAAGTTTCCTCTTAATTTATCAATTATGCTCAATTTTTTCTAATGGCTCGATCCTGTAAAAATATCAGTTATACACGTAAACAAGCCATAAATGACCGAAATTTCTAGATAAATCGCACCTAAATGTCATGACATGTGGTTTATAAAATGCAGTATCACTTGCCAAGCAGACATCCTTCACAAAGTTGATCTGGATGCTTGACATATAGCAATCCTTTCACCATGCTCTTCCTGACTAATAATCTCAAGCCCTCAAAATTCAAATGCGCCGAAGTCTTATGTGTCAAATACATAATGAATCTTTCAAACATGGCTTCAAATATTTTACAACATCAATTTGAATGTTGAATGAAAACATTCTATTATTCGTCATTTGGACTTTAGCAATCATATTGTCATGATGATCCCATATTGAAAGACTATTATCTTTCATTAAAATATTGTAGCCTTTATTTAAGAGTTGTCTCAAACTCAAAATATTGTTCTTCATATTTGGCATATAATAGACATTAGAGATAAACTCATACTTCCCATTTTTCAAATTGATCAAGATCTTACATTTTCCTTTTATTGGAATTTTTGTAGATAATGAAAATATGATATTACCACCAACAGATTCATCCAATTCCACAAACACGGATTTACTCACACACATGTGATTGTTTGCTCCACTATCAAGATACCACGAAGTATTCTCATATGTATCTTCATCTCTGCATGCCAAAAGCAAAGATGACTTACTGCTTTTAACATCTTCTTCAACGTAATTTGCATTTTCTTCAACTTTATTTATGCACTCTCATGAATAATGAATAAATTTCTAGCAATTACATTCAACCCGACTTTTGTCATACCTCCAATCATCATTAGACCTTCCTCCATATGACCGAATAAGATTGTCTGCCACGACCTTTTGATGAATTGGAGTTGAAATTACTCCCATCAAACTTTCTTTGACCAAAGTTTCCACGACCACAACATCTGAAGTCACCACGTCCATGCCTTCTATCACGACCGTGACCTCGATAACCTTTTTCTTGACTATCTTCTTTATCTTTCAACTATAACTTTGATTGAAAGAATTGCTCTGTTGTTTGTTTTTTCTTCTTGAGAAACTTCTCTTCATGGGCTTGCAAAGTCCCATAAGCTGATCAACAGATACTGTACTCATATCCTTTGATTATTGAATTGCTACAACGATGAAATTAAACTTTTCATCCAATGAGTGAAGTATTTTTCAACTACTTGCTCATCGTTTATCGTCTCACCAAATCTCTTCATCTCATTTACCATGGCTAGCAACCTTGAACTATAATATGAAATTGATTCAAACTACTTCATATGTAATGCTTTATAATCACCTCTCAAGTTTTGGAGTCAGACATTCTTGACTCCATCAACTCCTTTGTAAGTATTCTCCAAACTTTGACGTGCTTTCATTGCGATGGTTGCTCCAGAAATCTTCTCAAAATTTGTATCATAAATGACTTGATGAATAATGGTGAGAGTCTTATGATCTTTCTTTCTGGTATTTTGCAAAGTCTCTCGTTGGCTTGATTTAAAACCACATCATTTGCTGGTTCTTCGTAGCCTCTATCAACAATCTCCCATGTATCTTGGTGAACCAAGTAAAGCCTTCATACGAATAAACCAACTATTGTAATTTTCCTTGGTAAGACGAGGCACATGGAAAGGAACCAAATTGTTGTTTGCCATTTTCAAGAACAATTCTCTTTTCAAACTCAAGCTCTGATACCACTTTGTTGGAAGCGTGTGTTGGACAATAAAACATTTAGAATCAAGAAGACTTGTTTGAGAATAAACAACTCCACTTGTATTGAAATTTCTCACAAAATACGCTTGGTTCACAAACTCTCTCAAACTCTCTTCTTTTTATTCTCCACACACTTGCTTGAAATACAACAAGAGATCATCCTATTTATATGACTCCATGGAAGAATCTAGATTCATAAACATACTATGAACCTATATATACATGAACGCACAATTAACCAATCTTAAAAAATTAAATACATGAATGTTCCATTTCATGTACATGTATCATGTACCTAGGAATGTATATGCATAATGTATCTAGAATAATAGTGGTTCATGAATTAACATGTTTAATTTTCAATATTAGCGAGAGGAGCGTTGACAAATTTTAAGAAGGAAAGAAAATAGAGAATAACAAAATACTATTGAATTGAATTTTGGATACAAACCTACCTACCTATTTATAATAGGTAATTAATTCATTGAATATAAAATCTAAATCAAATAATATAATTCATAATCATAAATCTAATTAAAACAATATCTCATAATATTATTTATCAAACATTGATGGCGAGTTTTTATGAGGTTCACATGTCTTTTGGAATATGTGTCATGGAGGAGCAAATGAGTCTAAAACCATAAAACTCAACGGTAGTGCAATGTCTCGCCTAATACTGTTGGGTTTTATGTCCTGAAACTCATAGTTTGAAAATGCCAGATATACTTTTATCTTTCAATAAAGTTGTTATTGAAGGTTTTAATCAATAAG